AGTATCAAATCGACAGTCAGAGATGAGTCATAGATAAGTGATGTTGGTGTGTAAATGTTCCCAGTTTTTTTGCGGGGTTGTTGTCTTGTTTACGTAACAAATGTCTTTTATTTCAGTTGATAAGGGTGACTTAACGAACACAATAATATTAGTATCGTCATAATAATAATGAATGATAGTAACAATAATAATCATAATCAAATGACCGTGGCCATCAAAGATACTACCAGCTACATATTGAGAAAAGCACCACTGTTTAATACACTGCCGAAAGAGATATTCATATGTGTAACAGGCACCGTATATTAGCTGGAACTAATCGAATTTTCTGTATCTGTTCTGAAGTCTACTCTACTCTACTCTACTCGAACTCAAGCAGCCAGGTGAGGGTTTATGGTGGGTTGTCTTCTGAAGTGGTGACGGCTAGGGGTGTCCGTCAGGGGTGCCCATTATCCCCATTTCTATTCAATTTCATCATAGATGCACTGATGGACTTAACCCTAACTCACTTCAGAGACACAGGGATTGACTTGCTACCAGGGAATAATCTCGTTGATTCAGAATATGCAGACGATATAGTCCTTCTAGGCGAGGACGCTGACAAAATGCAGAGTCTTCTGAACACCTTGAGCCGCAATCTACGAATGTTTGGCATGCGATTCGCTCCTACTGTAAAATGTAAGATGATGTTACAGGACTGGACTACACTGACTCTTAGCTTAGAAATAGGGAGTGAAGTGATAGAGCTGGTTGACCGCTTCACTTATTTCGGAAGTATCTTGTATCTCTGTGATATGTATCCATATAATATGTGTGTTTGTTTGACAGTCTGTTATATTTGCTAGGTATATATGGATCGATATTCCATTATAATTAGCCAATCATGTTAAGACTGTCTATTGATTTGTTCATTTTGAATATTCGCTCACACACTTGTGTTCACACACTTGTTCGGACATTCATATTTTTGCTCTCACACTCTTGTGTGACATTGATTCTCCTTGTGTTTGGAAAATAGAAGTATCATCGCAAACCTAGTGGTCTTCTGATTTCCGTCTTTCTTGCGTCGGGACTATTAAATTCTCGACCAGCACATAACAAACGTTTCGCATCAGATTATATGAAATCTTCACTATAAAATAATAATAATGCGAATGTCACTTTTGACACATGATATCAACGATATGAGGATTTATTCACTGTTGATCTCGCTTCACAAGACGATGCTTGGAAGGTGCGAGTGTTATTACGTAAATTTGTTCCCGCAGAATATGAGAGGTACTGCAACCTAATTTTACCCGAAAAACCACGTGACAAGTGTTTCGATGATGCAGTAAAGCTGCTGCGTGAACATTTCGGAGACCACTCCTCATTATTCAGCATACGTTATCGTTTCCTCAAGCTGACAATGAATGAAAATGATGATTTTCTTACTCACGTTGGCACAGTCGACCGAGAATGTGAGAGATTTCGACTCAGGTCCTTAACAGATGATCAATTCAAAGCCTTGATTCTCAAATGCAGTCTTCAATCTCCTCGTTTCACAGATATCCGAACTCGACTGCTCAATCAGCTAGAACAAAATCCTAAGTTAACATTACATGACATAGCTGATGAATATCAACGGCTGATTAATTTGCAGAAAGACACACACCTGGTCGAATCAACAACTTCGAGAAGCTCTGATATTCATGCATTACGAAAGAGCAAAAATCTCTCATCATCCACTCCTGACCCACCTTCTTCTAATGTTCCGCGGAAATCTACACATACTCGTCCAACTTCTCAAATTACTGCAAAGAAAACCCCACCATCACCATGCTGGCATTGTGGCGCGTGGCACTTTGTAAAGTCTTGCCCATACAAAAATCATCGTTGCAGCAAGTGCAAAATCATCGGTCATAAAAATGGTTTTTGTCAGCCACGCAAACCCAGATATCATAATCCAGCAAAAGCTCGACAAAATGTTGGTCCTAAATCTCCAAGGAGATCATTGATTCTAGTCGCAACCTGTCAAGTCACAACACCAGGTATGCGGAAATATCTTGATCTTCAGATGAACGGTCATGATACACGTCTGCAGCTAGATACCGCCTCTGATATTACTGTTATATCAGAGAAAATTTGGAATGATATTGGCTGACCACCTATCACAAATACTTCCCAGACTCTTGTCAGCGCCTATGGTGGGCGGCTCAAACTAATTGGTGAACTCAAATGTTGTGTTTCATTCCGTACGACGTTTCCATAAAATGATCTACGGCCACCGATTTACCTTGCTGACAGATCATAAACCGTTACTTTCCATTTTCGGATCTAAATCAGGTATCCCTGTACATGCAGCTAACCGACTACAACGCTGGGCAATAATATTACTTGGATACGATTTCGATATTAAATACAACCGAACTAACGAATTTGGTCAAGCCGACGCTCTATCTCGGCTAATTAGCAACTATCCTGCATCAAGTGAAGATATGGTAATTGCATCGATCGCCACCAAAGACTATTCAGTTAACCTCATCGACAATGCTGTTCGATCTCTACCAGTAACGTTTGCAGAAATACAGCGAACTACAAGCACCGATGCCACCTTACGACATGCTACACAGTATGTATCTAGTAATCGGCCAAAGATTAAATATAGTGGTGACCTAAAACACCTGTTTGCCCGTCGTGATTCCTTATGTGTTGTAAAAGATTGCTTGATGTTTGGAGAACGCGTAGTGATACCTGAAGCATTACGAAATAAACTCCTGAAACAGTTTCACATGGGACATCCTGGTATTCAGCGGATGAAGAGTATTGCTCGCAGCTACGCATACTGGCCTAATATGGATAAGCATATTATCGACTTTGTTCAACGATGTTCAAAATGTCAACAATCAGCAAAGCTACCCCACCAGCTACCTTCCGTACCGTGGCCTCCAGCATCCCATCCTTGGTCCAGAATTCATATTGATTTTGCTGGCCCTACAAATGGTGCATATTATTTAGTGGTGGTAGACGCTTTTTCTAAGTGGCCAGAAGTTATACCAATGGTTTCGCCGACAACGTCCCAGACTCTCAAAGCTCTCACTGACATATTCTCCCATCATGGTCTCCCAGAAACCATAGTTACAGACAATGGTTCGCAGTTTACGTCTCATCATTTTCAGCAGTTCTGTCGTCAAAATGCTATCGAGCATATGTTCACACCGCCGTATCATCCTCAGTCAAACGGCCAAGCGGAACGTTTTGTCGACACTTTGAAGAGAGCCTTACTCAAAGCAGAGGGAGAGGGGACACCATTTGACATCATCCAAAAATTCTTGATGGTGTACCGTACAACGGCGAATGAGTCAACACAGAACAAGAAATCGCCGGCAGAAATTCTTTACGGACGCAAACTTAGAACGATTCACAATTCAATGTTACCATCGACACCCAAACGTGCCAACGCATCATTTCGGAATGGAAAAAAATTTGATGTCGGTGACCCTATCTATGTCCGCGACTATCGAGCAGGACATAAACCTTGGAATAAAGGTTCCATCGCAGCACGACGTGGTCGAGTTATGTACGACGTGAAAGTTGGTAATGATTTATGGACCCGTCACTACAATCAGTTGCGTCCAAGAAACCGAAATATCCCTACCAGTACACAGTCATCCCTACCTCTGGATATTCTCTTGGATACTTTTAACTTACCTACGACTGACAAGACAGAAAAGCAAAAGTGCGCAGCCCAGACAACTCCAGACAAAGCAGAAGCCGCAAACTCAATAAGCAGACGAAGCAACAGACGTCGACAACAAACTGAAAGGTTTCAGATAAACCCCAAGAAAGCACGCTATTAATCATCAATCTTCTCAAAAGGGGAGGTGATATGTATCCATATATATATATATAATATTATATATATATATATATGGTGGTCTCTCTTTCTGTTGCTCTCTTAGTCTGTGACCATTTCACTTTGATGAACCTGTCTACTTTAACAATGTATATTCCCCTTATATTATATATAATATGTGTGTTTGTTGACAGTCTGATCTTGGTGATATATATATCCATATAATATGTGTGTTTGTTTGACAGTCTGTTATATTTCGCTATGTATATATGGATCGATACTCCATTATAATTAGCCAATCATGTTAAGACTGTCTATTGATTTGTTCACATACTTGTTTGGACATTCATAAACATATTCGCTCTCACACTATTGTGTGATATATATTGATTCTCCTTGTATTTGGTCTCGGGTGCTTCTTCAAGAAGTATCATCGCAAACTAGTGGTCTTCTGATTTCCGTCTTTCTTGCGTCAGGACTATTAAATTCTCGACCAGTACATAACAATAATTTGGCGACGAGTACATAACAGTGTCCATATAATATGTGTGTTTGTTTGACAGTCTGTTATATTTGCTAGGTATATATGGATCGATATTCCATTATAATTAGCCAATCATGTTAAGACTGTCTATTGACTTGTTCATTTTGAATATTCGCTCACACACTTGTGTTCACACACTTGTTCGGACATTCATATTTTTGCTCTCACACTCTTGTGTGACATTGATTCTCCTTGTGTTTGGAAAATAGAAGTATCACCGCAAACCTAGTGGTCTTCTGATTTCCGTCTTTCTTGCGTCGGGACTATTAAATTCTTGACCAGTACGTAACACTTTGTTTACTGCATTTCTTCTACTTACTTCTCTTGCTTTGTGTGCTACATGGAGTGTGGCGACTTGAACTGCCACACATCGGTGCAAAGTTCTATGTCGAAAACAGACATAAGTCTAGTTGGTTACTTAACCACTGGGAGTAGCTGGTTAATGTCTTCAGCTATTTCACTCCATGTTATTAGAGTAGAATGCATTTGTGACTTCAAAAGAAAGCATGATATCAACTAAGGCTTGTCGCTCATATTATGTAACTATTTTGATCAACAGTGTTTGACTCAATTTATTTAATTTTCAAATTTACTTCTCACTTCGTTCCCACTATCTTGTAGAAATTCTGTACGTATGGCTGTCCGCAAACTGACGTATGCACCCAATGAACCAGGCCAACAACCATCAGCTGAATTATCACGAGACTTTCTTATGAGTGTTGGTAGTCTTCGAGTAGAAGCTACTCTGGACAAAAATGTAATTATCAATTTATTTAATGTGTTAATATCTAATGATTATGTGTTTTAAAATTGTTGTATAAAGTTTAATTTGTTTACAATTAAGAATCACTTATCACTGGTTAAGGCGGGTTTTTAGGCGCTCATCTGTTTATCTGTTTCTACATTAATTCTAAAGCTTTGTGCAGCATTAATTACACTTTCTGTATTTGGTTTTCCAAATATCCATTATGCATTTGTAAAAATAAGGTATGTGTTCAAAAACAGTACATAACTACTTTTTTCTTTTACCGTTTGTAATGATAACCTGCTCTAAAACGTCTTTGAAATGGTTTCATGATTTCATCATGAACTGAAATGGATTTGAGGATCATTGGGAAACCCTGGAGTAATGGACAGTTGTTTCGTCCTAGTTTGGGACTCTTCGTCGGTGCGCATCCATTGAGCTCGTAGACCATTAAGCCACCAGGATCCGATCCAATGGTTCATGATAGTATTCATTCATTGATAAGTCTACCCTATCGAGTTTTGTGTTTAGGTTCGCCTCAACCCATTGCGTTAGTGAATGCTTTGACTATGTTTCCAGTTGATGGAGGTCCTGGTCTCCTTTAAACTATCATTTAATTTTTCTTCAAAAGTTAGTTTGTAGGGATTCGATTTGTTTTAAGTTTCGACCACAGACTGCTATCAGTTAGGAAACCATTGGGAACTAGGGAGTACTGTACAGCTGTTTCGCTTTAGTTTGAAACTCCTCAAGAGCATGCACCGACAATTCCACCAGGAATCGAACCCAAGACTTACAGGTTACAAGTCCAGACTTGTTGATCACTCAGCCATTTAAACGTGAATCCAATGGCGTATAGATTCCGACTTCCGACAGTTGGCGATTTTAGCGTGACCGCCAGGCAATGTTATCGGCGAGTATTTGTTCTCACACTCGACCTGGTAGTGTATCTCACTGGTCACAGCCTCTCACTAGAACTCAAGCTAGGATGAGCTAGCTGTCCAATATATTTCCTGGTTTTCAGTGGTTTTGTAAAAGTCACTTTCTGCGCTAGTAGCACCATGTTGTCGAGTCCTAACAAGTTCAGGGTATGGACTTAAGGTTTTTGTAGACTCAGTGGTAGCATCTACTGTATATATATATATATATATATCGTGGCTTTTGTGTATAGTGAATTATTATTATTCCCTTGTGTTCCTCGTGGAACATAGGGCTTCAACTTCACGTCTCCACTTGCTTCTGTCTGCTGCTGTACTTTTTACTTGCATCCATGTTAGTCCATACTCTTTCAATTTCTTTTCACACGACCTCCTCCATGTTACCCTTGCACTGACGACCCACTCGCCACGTGCTTCCCTTTCGGTTTCCATTCGAGCAATGGCCTGACGCGCGCACGATGTCACCCAGTCGCCTCCTCAGAGAGTGTCCTATCCATCTCAATCCACTTTCTCCTGCATATTTGTCGGGCGATTGGTTCTTGCTTTGTTTGTTCCCAGCCACAGTTTCTTGTTGGTGATTCTTTTCGGCTCGGCCATCTGATCTTCAGTATAGACCCAGCGAAGACAGTTAGTTGTTGATAAAGGTCTGCAACAGGCTGTTGGAAATATTTTTGTGACCGCCGCCCTCCAAGTTTCTGAACCGTGTAGAAGAACTGACTGACTTGACGTTTGTATTGAAAATCCAATCGAATTTCGTTGTTGATTCTGGCTGAGTGAGGAAGATTTCCAGGTTGGTTCCAGGTTGATGAATGTGTTTCTCGCCTCCCTGATTCTCGCTTGATTTGACATCCTCGTCCGTTCCGACAGCCTGTAGTTGAGACAATGCTCTTTAGATAAGTGAATAGTCGTAGTTTATGGACATTCACAAGAAAATGTTTCCTAGCGTAAATTGAATCCTTCTTTCTGGACTGAATAGTATATAAATTCAGTATTCATTCATTTCTGAACTACCCATCATAAAAACTTAATTAATGTCTCCAGTGAGATTTGCTTGAATAGGAAATAACTTTTCTAAAATTTATTTGTTGGTATTTATTTTTGTGTAGCTGTATTTTAAAGCGTACGTGATTGCTGAAATACTATCTGTAGTCAACAAATATTTAGCCTTTTTAATCTCGACTATTAATCTGTTATTTATCTTTTTTATCTGTGAAGACCTTAGATACATTTTGTTGATGTGTACTACTACAACTGCAAAATGCATAATATGTCCCAACTACCTTAATCTATGGAGCTTCTAAACATCGTTGATTGACATTCCTTGTTTACGTAATAGTCTACATTTAGCCATGTGACGAGTTATTGTATTGTTGCATATAACACAAGCGATGGAATAAAGACGATACATATAGGGTAGAAAACTCCCAATCTTTTCGCACTTTCCATTTTTTCAGCGACTGTTTCTCACACTCGTAAAAAAATAGAACAGAGCAAAAACTACTGTGGATTCCATCTACATTTTGGTAGGTAACCTCCAAGGATGGCCAACAGTTTTTTTTTAAATGCCCAGTAAGCCTTCAGTATCCAATCACTTGTGGCTGATGTAGCTTACCAAATAGATGAAATGGTCAATACATGTAGCTGTTGACTGGGCACTAGTTAGTAAGTAGTGTAATGTCTAGGCCTTAGTTTGGTGCAGACCACATGCCACTACTAGGTGGCTCGCCATCACGATGCATCACGATGAATTGATGTTAAATAATTGTAAGTTTTTCTGTAGATATTTCACTAGGAGTCAGTCCAAACTAGTCGTGCAGAATTATCATCCTACGCTTGACATTAGTGAAGCATATGCTGAGTATTTGTTGTTCCACTCGTAAGCTTATTCTGTACATTGCTGAGACTTGTGTAGATTTGATGTGGATACGTTCTGTAATTATCGCTAACTTAGACTTCTTAAGATTGCTCAGTATAGGGAAGTTTGTGATTGCTTTCTGTTTCAGCCACATAAAGTTTAATATTCCCCTCGAAATACAAGCAATGAATAAAAGTTATCATAAACGACAATATTAGTGTAATTTAACACGACGTTATTTCTGTGAAATTGTTCTTTTTTTCCCAGAGTTATTCATTGAAGGATATGTCTTCTTCTGGAATTCTCTTTAAAGATGCATTGAAACTTAATATTTCAATAGCAAACAAAACTTCAGACTCTATAGCAATGTTTATATATATATATATATATATATATATATACATTCGTTCTCGATTTTAGCTAACATTCATCTTGTTATTCTATTCATATCCTTCTCTATCCGTCCATCTCCTTGCGTCCTATTTTTAGTTTAATTTATAATTTCTCCCTTTTGTGTTTCTGTACACTGTGTGAATTGATGTGCAGTTGCGTTTTAGATTACAAGTTGTCAATCAAACAGAGTGTTTGCCATTTCGTATGCCTATATATGTAGTAACTTATTTTTTGTCCACTTCTCTGCTTCTTTACTGAATTCCGTATGGCTTCATGCTTATTTTTCATTCTCTTTTTTTCTTTCTTTCCTCTCTCTTCTTTGTCAATATATTTGTCATTGTATTTATTAGGTATAAGTAAGTACTACCTCTTTTATGATCACAGTATCACTTTGGATTGTTCCTAGGGAATAGATTTATCTCTATATTTTGTTGCTGAGATGCTTAAGGTTGTAGAAAAAAAAAACAAGGGAAACTTTCATTCCTTGTGCGCTTATCTGTTCATCTATTTATTTATTTATTTGCTTATTTGTTTGTTTTTTCTTCGGTGTTTTCTATTCTCTCTTTTGTAGAAGTATTTTCATGGAGAGAAAATTTTTGTCAACTTACTTGTAGATAATAATTCGAATAAAACAATTAAACGTATCAAGCTGTCAGGTAACTAACTACTCATTATATGAGCAACAATTGATTTTCAAAAAAAAATTCATTTCGTGAAAATAAAACATGTTGTTTAGGGAAGAGTCAGTCTCTTTCCGGCTGCAAATTCATTCAATTATCTGTACAATCGCAATTATCTATAATTATTTTTGTGTGTGTATGTGTGTGTGAATTAGGTTTGCCCGACAGGAATAAAAATAAGTTAGGGTTACTGTTTACGTCATCAAAATATTTCCAAAATGTGACCACTAATCAAATTGTATAACAACAGAAGACAAGGGCCGGCAACAGATCGTTTTATTACGGAAATCAACACGTATTTATATATATTTCTGTACATTATTATAGCTTATGCAAGTAGACAGACGCAGTTTTCTAATTGGTTGTTTCTCGGAAGTTAAGCAGACAAACGCAGGCTTCTGATTGGTTGTTTCTCGGAAGTTAAGCAGACAAACGCAGGCCTCTGATTGGTTGTTTCGGGTAACCATCGAAAGTGGAGCCATCTATCTGTGAATCATATTTGCCCAGGTTAAGTTTGCTGTGATTAGTTGTTGAATCAGCCTTGTTTATATTTTCTCACGGCCAATACTAGTGACCTAGACACTGACGCAGATTAATGTCTACCAATTGGCTAGCAGCCTGCTCTCACCACACTCGTTCCCCCGTCAAATAGCTTCGTGCGCAGACGTTCCGACCTTCTGGGTGCCTGCTCTCACCACAATTGTAACTAGGCTGAGGGAGGGGGTACAGATTAGTAAGAGCGTAGTGGTGATGAGTTGTCCAAAAATAGTTGTCAATATTAGTCGATGCATAAGAGAAGTCAAATAGATGTAATTTAGTTGTGTAATAAGATGAATAATTTCTTGAGTGAGTTTTCATTAGTATGCACATAGAAACGAAAGAAAATATGGGGCTACGTAGGAGTAGTGAAGAAATACAAGAGTTATAAGGAGTTAGAAAATCAAGTACACAAACTTCAGGTCAGTAGAAATCAACTCGGTTGTTACCATGATTGCAGAATGGGTTAGATGATCCTCTTTTGTATACATGTCTCTGGTTTCTCCAACTGAGTGGCTAAAGCTTCAGCAATATAAAGGAGATGAAAGCGTATTACGTTTGGTGGGTTATTCTTGACTTTGTGGATTTCTTTGAAGCAAGCGTTTATTGAGATGGGGAATGGTTAGTGTTGGCAAGGTATTCGATGATCGCATTCCTTATAGAGCCACTATACAAAAGAAGATCATTCAACCATTTTTTTTATCACAGCAATAGCCGTGTTGATTTCCACTGACCTAAAGTGTGTTTGCCTGCTTTTCCAGCTCCTTATAACTCCTATATCTCTTCACGCCTCTTACATAATCTCATATTTTCCTTCGTTTTTTACTAATCTTAACCCTACCCCCTCACCCTAGTTACAATTTGATTATTCATCTCAATTTTTGGAATATTTTGATGACGTAAACAATAACCCTAACTTATTTTTATTCCTATTAGGTAAACCTAATGTACACATACAAAAATAATTATAGATAATTGCGATTGTACAGTTAATTGAATGAATTGGCCGCCGGACAGAGACTCTTCGCTGAACTACATGTTTTGTTCCCAATAATGTGTGTATGATGATTATTCATGAACTCATTTAGTGCACACTTCTACTTTTAAAAGAAGGTTCATGTGTGTTCCTTATACACATACATATCGTCTTTACTAAATCGAGGAGGAGGATTATTAGGTTTAAATGTATGTGTGCTCAAAGCTCAATTCCTGTAATATGATCTACTCAACTTATTGTTTGTGCTTGACTGAAGGAAGAGTAAAAGAGGTTGCTTGAAGTGTTATCACCTTCAGAAGTGGATATTTGTTGATTTGGACATCGGAATGGACAAAAATCTTTTTCTTGGAGTCTTTGCAATACATATTGTAGCGATGGAAATCAATCTTTACATTCTACTGTATAGCTAACCAAAACTCCTTTGAGTTATGCGCGGTCTCAGAGTGCCCTGACAACGGCGAAAAGACAGTTGTTTGCGATAAGATCTGCGGTACTATTTAACAGTAGCAACATAAGAAAACTCAAAATCACCTCAGCACTGCCGTTAGACAGATATGTATAGATCCAATTATTTCTTAGGTACAAAACAAACACTATACAACAGAATTGTTTAACGAAAATCAACCGTAAGAGATTTTCCAGTACAAAACAAGTGCTGTCGAACAAAATTAGTTAACTAAAAATCAACCGTGTAAAGTACCTGAAAAGAATCAAGAAGGATATATCAAAACCCTGTCAGCAAGAATCATACATTAAACACTTCTCCTCACTGGCAGTCTGAAGTCAAAATCTCCACGATCAACCTTGACTTCATTTATACAAGTACATAATAGCAAAACAACACATTATCAACACCATTATATAAGAGCAAATGGAAGCGTTTAGATTATGGATTACACAAGAGTAAAGACAAATAATAAGGATGAAGTTAATGAGTGCATTTGTTTAAAAACTTTTATTTTAGGCTAATTATTCATTACATCCTAGTCATTTTATTTCTTATTTTTTTTTACAGTTCGACAGTATACTCAAATCTATGTTCAAAGCCCAATTCATTTCAAATGTTCTGTTGATGAGATTCAGTCAGAGTAAGGACACCATAATCTTTCCTCATTTTCTTTTCAGTATGTAGGTATTATATAATAATGTTTTTAGGTTAAGATAAAACCTTTCAAGTTTCATGAAGTCAGTTGATGGGTAGTGACTGGCAGTGGAATCCAGGATGTTCGTTTCGTCTTATTTGGGGCTCGTCGGCTGGATGTACCTGCATTCCCCAATGAGTGATGGTGTTCTCACCGAGGCTCGAACCCAGTGCCCGTAGTTTCAAACGACAAAGCGTTATCCACTAGAGCACTTGGACCAGGAGGGTCACCTCTTGTGCAACAGTAGGAAGACCATTAGTCACTGGGGAATGCAGGTACATCCAGATGACGAGTCCTAAATAGAATGAAATGCTCATGCTGGATTCCAATGCTAGTCACCTTCCACCAATGGGTACATATCAGTTACATAAACAGACATACTTGAGACATCTGCACAAGGAACCGAAATGTCAATCTGAGACCGACCACTTCGGTCCAATTAGTTGGTGGGAAAATCTAAAATTGAATTAAATACTTTCAAGTTTCCGTTCCAACTGAATATAATTTCTTGACTGCTTTCGGTTTTTTTATTATCGGTAGTGCGTTCAGATATTACGTTTACCACATGAAGATGCTCTTCACGAGTTGGTAAAATTAAACTTTCCTATGTTATTGCCCATGCTCGGACAATACACAATTTGGTTCACGAAACCATATGTGTATATAATGTCTTTATGGCCTAGTTGGTAGAATTTTTTGAGCAACTCATGAAACTTGCTCGTCAGAATTGTCGTTCCTTAACTTCCTTAATTTTCTTCCCAAATTACAATCAATCTATGTTCTGTTGAGGTAGTGTTGTTGATCGCTGGTTGACTTCTGATTTCTTGACTTTTCTACGATCACTTGTTGATGATCAAGTTGTAATGAGTCATGTTTCGTACTCTGTCTCCAGTAGTTCAGCTTTCCCATACAGTTTTGAAAAACAGTCAGCTATCACGTCTTCGTCAAAGCGAGAAAAAGGTTTGAGGTCTCTCTTCAGTTGTGGATGGTTCAAAAGATAATCAACATAGACAAAACAAGAGCATACATTTTTCCTTCGACTGAGCGAAAATCAAGCATGAATTTCGAATAATTTGTCTTAAGAAGTTCGGATCAGTGTGCCAAGCGAAACGTTGGAATTACTTATTTCAATTTCTCTGCGATTTTACAAATATAATTTTTATGTTTGTCTACCTCTCACTCGGCGCCTATTTATATTGAAACTATTTGGTCAAATCTTGATCACAGTTCGTATGAACGAAGGTCTTAGTTTTGACGTAACAGCAAAGAGTGTGATAAGGTGAACACTTGAATCGATACGGTATTATATATTATTATTGTTCCCTTGGGTTCCTAGTAGAACATAGGGCTTAAACTTCACGTCTCCACTTGCTTCTGTCTTCTGCTGTACTTTTCACCTGCATCCATGTTAGTCCATACTGTTTCAACTCCTCTTCACACTATCCTCTTCTTGTCACCCTTGCATTGACGACCCACTCGCCGCGTGCTTCTCTTTCGGGTTCCACTCGAGCAACGGCCTGACGCACGCGCGATGTCACCCAGCGGCCTCCTCAGTGAGCGAGTGTCCAATCCATCTCCAATTTCTCCTGCATATTTGTTGGTTGGCGATTGGTTCTTGTTTTGTCTGTCCCCATAGTTTCTTGTGGGTGATTGTTTCTGGCCCAGCCACCTGATCTTCAGTATTGAGCGAAGACAGTTAGTTGTCGATAAAGGTCTGCAACAGGCTGTTGGAAATATTCTTTGTGACCCGCCCGCCCGCCAAGTTTCTGATCCGTTCCGTATAGAAGAACTGACTGACTTTACGTTTGTATTGAAAATCCGACTGAATTTTGTTGTTGATGCTGGGTGAGTGAGGAAGATTTTTAGATTGGTTGTTTCAGGTTGATGAATGTGTTTCTCGCCTTCCCAATTCTCGCCCGATTTGACATCCTCGTTCGTTCCTCCTGTATTTGAGGGGGACAATGTTCCCTAGATAAGTGAATGAAGTAACCTTTTTCAAATCCCTCCCGTTGATGGTGATTGACGCTGGATGTTGCTGTTGTTGTTGTTGTCGATACTGTAAGAAACTAGTTGTTTATGTGATAAGATTGGAGAAAGACTCGAGACACTTTTGGTAGATAGATGGCCCACGATTAGACACTATTTGAATGTATGTCGGGCGGTTGCGTTGTCTTTGCATTTCCTTTTCCTGTCACGGTTTCAGTGGTCAACTCACGCAGGTAAACAAAAGCCCCATTCGTAGTAATTTCAAGGGTTTCGTGTTGCCGAAGTTTACGGTCCGTTGTAGTGAGTAGTCAATGAGAATTTTTGTATTACTCAGACAGTCTTTAAGCACTCCTTTTTTTATCTCAGAATACTTTTTTCCTGCATGCTTTAGAACACAACTTCACTACTCTGTCTCTTTGTTCTCCGACGGTAACTACTCCATCACCACATGGCTTAGAAGTACTAATCGCTTGTATATTAATGGCATTTTTAGCGTTATCTGTCGATAATTCAGTTCCTTAATCCTACCAAATGTTTTCTGTGCTTCTTATTTCCGCGAAAACTTCGTATTATTATTAAGCAAATAATGCAGGTTTGCATGACCAGACCGTAGAAGGCTTACTCTTCTCAGTTCTTTTCTGATTTAGTATTGCGATGCTTATAGTAGTCAGAATCTATGGGTAACTGTTTTATTTTTTCATTTCCCTAAAGAGTGATATTTGTTCTGGTTAATTATTCGTAGTTTAATTTCTTCACACGTACAACACTATGCACAGAATAGTAAAATAAGATACTATATTGTGTGCGTTTAATTAAAATAAATTCACAGAATTATTGATAATTCAGGAAGTTAATAAAATCATTCAGGAAGTAATAAGTACAGAAATTATGATCTTTAAAAGAATCATGAGTTGCCTACAAAGTTCCCCCTATCCTGTTGATGTATAAGTAATGCGTGTTGTTACTTTCCATGATGTAAGTTCCTCAGTCGCTGTAGAATATGCATTCGAAATTCTTTTGCCAGGTAAAGACTTTTAAACTGTCTTAACGAAAATGCAAAGCTGTCTAAAGAGTGTTTTTTGCCATCCAAATAATAGTAATAATTATTATTCCCCTGGATTCCGAGTGCAATCATGTGATATGATTATGAGCAATAGTTTGTACTCGAAACGTCATCAGTTAATATTACTGTATAATACTGAGTGCTCTTCTGATATCGTCTGTCTTCTCCGCTCTATATGGAATGATGACTGTTGAGGTCCATGTTTTCGGAACACGTTTTCGGCCATACTTAATGTCAATGTTGATTTTGTTGATGAAGTTCTTTGGGTAGTTGTTTTGCTTGAGAGTCTCAGTAATGTTCGATATTTCTTCTTCTTTTTCTTTCTCATATGTTATCAACGAGTGTGCTCTTCTAAGAGTACCTACTCTTATTGTAGTATTAATGAACTATTTTTAATGACTACAAACATTCTGTGACCTATTCAGAATTAAGTGATATCGCATATTTCATACGCAATATTATGGTTGGTGTTTTTGATTGCTTACTCGATTTCGAATGTTTTTAGTGTAGACATTAAAGGAGGAAAATTCTCCTCACATCGTAGTAACGAAGTTGTTTAAGAGTCATAATAATTTTCAACTTGATATGAAAATATGAAGGTGTGAACATAGATTACAAGGCGCTTAGAAAAAAAATTGTACAGGATTGGAAAATAGCTTTTTAACTACTGAAGGTGTCAATAGGATGAGCATAGGAACAAATTGAAATAATAATATTTCCAAAGCTGCAACTGAAAAAAAGGGAAAATGAAGGGGATGAAAAAACGGAACCTTAGAAGACAAACTGAACTATACCCAAGGTAAATGGAGGGTTTGAACCAGTTTCCATTGAACACATAGCTCTGGTTTTTCGATTCATATGGAGAGGGTGTCTGCAGTACAAAGAAGTCGGAAACACACTGCCTTTTGTAAATTTTTGTTTACTTTGTAAATGACTCTAAACGATGAGTCAGTTAACATGGTGTGACAGGTGTTGACGAGGTGTTGAATTATTGTGCTCCTGATTGAATCAGTGCCTCCTCTTTGCGGCCATGCTGGGTAATGTTCTCTAACACGTTTTGATAGGACCCGCCTAGAACGAACTACGTACCTAACTTCGCACGAGCAGGTGAACCGATGTATACACATTAAAGTGTTCATATGTGGAAGCCTGTCCTTCACATTGCTTCAAAGCAAAAGGCGGTTGGAAAATATCACTCTTATATTCGCTCGAGGAAAGGTTTTTTTAGGGAACTCAAGATTCTCCTTTTAAAGATATCTGCTGCTAGGTGTCCCCCTGAATTCCAGATTCAAATATGGTGTTTTCTTTGACACTGAAATGCATTCTCCCCTTTTTCGTTTAAGTTTCATGTTCTTCTCCACGAAGCGTACTGGGTATCCATTTTGAGCCAGCAAGTTTTTGAGAAACAGAAGCTCTCCTTCACTGCGAATTCTCCTGGTACGGTGGGCTTGCGAGATAATGAGAGCTCTCTTTCGACTAATAGGTATCCAACTGTAGAAGTTTACTATTTGGCCATTCCATAATGGTTTTCTGTGGATAGGTCTCTTCTTGTGAACTGGACGTCCAGCAATGAAATCTTTGATTCCTTGTCAACTTCCATTGTAAGTTCAATTGAAGGATGGGAGTAGTTAAACTTCTCTAAGATACAATTTAAATCAGAATCATCCTGAAAAACCATATAAGTGTCACCGACGTACCTTTTGCATAGCAGCAATTTTTCCATTGTTGATCCCATTTTCCAAGCTGGTCATGAAATAGTATGCCAAAAGTAGGCCAAGGGGAAAGCCCATAGCAATCCCGTCTTCCTGTCCATAGATAACGTCAGTCGTTAAGAAACTGTTTTGTAATCCTATGTAATCTTGTCTCTAAGCCCCTTGTAGTCTGTATTCACATATTCAAACTTTCATTTCAAGTTGAAAATTATTATGACCCTTAGTCACCTTAGTTACTATGTGAAAGTTCCTTCCTCTTATGAATAGTCGACAAAATAGTAAGAATTAATGTATGTGTAAAACTTGGGCACTGTGGTAGTAAGTAATTCCATATTATTTTGTTTATTAGATGTATCACACAGTGAAACTCGTTTCTGACCAAGAGCTCGAACTTAGGACAAGAGTGCCACTTGAGGACATAATACTGGAAGTGCAACTATGCCTGATTTCCACAGTATTTGAATTCCAAGGGAAAATATACAAACAAACTGGGGGAGTTGCCATTGGATCATCAATATCCCCGGTTGTAACAGATATATTCATGGATAGGTGGGAAAACATAGCGATCGAAAGGTTCACTCCCACCCCAAAAGTATGGTGGAGGTATGTAGATCACACATTCACTGTACTTAGAACACAGGGTATAGATAGATTTTTCGAACAAATCAACTCGAAGGTACAGGCAATTCAATTCACTTATAAAGTGGAAAGTCAGGAAGGGGAGCTTCCAATGTTAGATTGCAGCGTAAAAAGGAAAGCAAATGAAAATTTAAACACTAGTGTTTACAGGAAACCCACATATTCAAACAGATATTTGGACTTCCGATCATCCCATCCTATGTCAGTAAAAATAGGATTGGTGAAATGTTTAAGTGACAGAGCACAAAAACTAATTAGTACCAAGGAAAATCTAAGACAGGAAGTGATAAACATAAAAGAAGCCTTGAAACTTAATAATTACCCTGATAAATTAGTCAGGAAATATGTAAGGAAATGTAAAAATAAAATAACTAATGATAGTAGCGATAGTGATAATAATAATAATGGTAACAATAATGATAATAATAGTAATAGTGATAATAATAATATTAATGACCACACCAACATTAACGAATCAGTAGTAATTCCATACAAGGAAGGAACCTTGGAAACCTCATGCAGAATTCTTAACAAGGCAGGAATAAAAATGGCCAGCTTTTCAAACCCACAAACTCAATCAGATTCAAGTTTTGTCGACCAAATCGTCTCTCCTGTGGAGCCTTTAAAACAAAACAATTTAGTTTATTTAATACCCTGCAATGATTGTGAGGTCAAATACATAGGTCAAACTAGTAGAACAGGGGCAGTCAGACTAGCCGAACATAAAAACCCAGCAGCGAAATCTAGATTGGTTGGCCCAAATAAGATAAGAAATCTAGAAAATAGTTCAGCTATAGCACTCACTACATTCAGTCACACACAACCATACAATAGGATGGGATAGGATGACACTTTTAAAATCTAATGTCACAGGGTATAGGGAAAGACTGATAACAGAAGCTTTGTTTATCGAATCAACTGCAAATACATGTAATAGGAATGATTCATCAAATGTCCAGTTGGATATCTGGGAAATTTTACTACCTTAACGACGACAAATAGGAGAAAACAAAGAAAACTATAAAACTCAGGATTCAAAGTCGTGTGATTACAATTGATATGATTATGAACAGCAATAAATTGTGTTCGAAACGTCATCCAGTAAATAATACAGTTTCACTGTGTGATACATCTAATAAACAAAATAACATGGTAAAATAGTAAGGAGCAATAACTTATCTGGCAAATAAATGTATTTTATTCTTAAAACACTTTCCGAACATTCTTATCATACAATTACTTGTCTTACATACTTGTGCAGAAGTTAAGAGGGTAGAACTACATATGACAAACACGTGCTTGTGTGTATGTGATCAGAATGTTCAATATGTATTGTGCCAATAACATAGCACGTGTCAAATAAGTTAAGTCCCTATTGTTTTGCAAAGGGGAGTAATTACTTTTTGATAGATTAGTAATATTTTCAAGATATTCTACTGAAATTGACTATAATTATTATCTGATTTCTTTACTGTCTTCTTAAAACTGAAAAAAAACATTAGGGAACGTTTTCCTATTTTACCCAGTCAAACTGGCTGGTGTAAAGTCTATCGTCTTTGCCCATCTTTAACGCACAATCGGGACAAGATTGGTATTGCAATGGATGGTGATTTAAAACAAGAAGATACCAACTTAGCCTCATCAACAATGTGAGTTTTTGTTGTTGTTAGTTTTCACATATTGTTTCAATTCTGTTACATTTGTGATTAAATTTACCCTGTTATAAGTATCTTATGTTTGCGTCGTTGTGATGTCAGCCTGGCTGTTAAAGGTTCAGGCTTACAATTCTTTGATGCATGCAGTTTTGTACTTTTGTGAAATTTGGCCTCTCCAAGCTGAGAATATGCAACCACCCTACGTATTCGATCATCGTTGTCTCTGATAGCGGCATTGTGTGATTAATTCTGAGGTTCGGCAGCATGAATTTTCACAATGGTGGAGGCCACCATTCATTGAATGTCGTCATGTGGAAACACTGGCTTCGGTGGCTTGGATATGTTCTACGAATGTCATCCCAGAGGCTCACGTACCCTTCTCTGTTCGCTAGCTTTGAGAATGAATGGAAAATGCGGATGGGTGTTCAGCCTATAACGAGGCACTGTAGGATGAAGGATATTGGTGTTAGATGAGCATCATTTGGTAAATCACGACTTCCTGGTTGGCTCGGAGAGTTAGTTGGAATCGGTGTCTCGAGACTTTATCAGATATGGTCATGAACCTCAGTCATTGGCGGACATGCTTCACCTCTCTTCTTTCGTCCCCTTCTGACAGTAACATAGTGTTGAATGATCTTGACAAGTATGCTTACTGCATGACCCCCTGAATTATTCTACCCCTACTTTCTATATATATATATATATATATATATATATATATATATATATATATATTCATTTTATTATTGTTCTGTGGAGCTTATCTTGGTGCCCATAATGTACCACGTCTGTGTTTTAAATTAGATAAAAATTAGTTCCAGTGAAATATGCGATGTCGGTTGGTTGGGATATGCGTAAAACACAACCGAGCCCATTATTCTCCTAAACTATGACTATTAGTTATAAATAAAATGATTTTGGAGGAAAAAGTAAGGGACTTAATGCAAAGTGTCTTCAATCCCATTTATTTCGGATTATTACATCTGGCCGCTGCAACACACTACTTCATCACTGAATGCACATTAGGAGTTTTAAGCATGTATCGAGGTTGTTTTAAAGAAAAATACTCAATGTTTTTATCTTACACCGAATATTTTTAGCTGTCGAAGACTTTCAAAATAACTTTTGAGACTTCATGTATCACCCTTAAAAGGTTTTACTCACGCGTAGATTATTTTTCATGAAAACTCCTTTGACATTCTAAATAATCTAATAGTAAAAATAACTTGATTCGTGCTAAATTGGCGTGATTGATGGAAGGTAGAATTTTGTACAATACAATATCAGCTCAAGTTATCACACTTCAGGAAAGCATGTATAAAAGCATAGTTCAGAATTGCGGATGAAGTATATTCGACAGAAATGTGTGGCAGAGAGATTAACTAATTGATTTCCAGAATGCTGTTGATGATAAAATGTCGATAGATCTGCACCACTGTGATACATTTGGGCCATGTTATGAAGAGTTTACAGCTACTGGTTGATAACATCTCAAACATCCCAGCAAAGATGTGTCTATCCCCCACCATGTAGTCCGCACAGAATATTATGAACTTTGTGGCTTTGTACTGTGGTCTAGTTCGATTACCTGTAAATATTTTCCAACCTTGTCTGAAGAAAAGTGACAACACTTGTCAAACATACAACGATATTTGCTTAGGGTGCTCATGAGGCTGAATGTTTTGTACGTTTTCACCTAAAATGGGTTATATTGTCTATGCACCCTTAATTGATGAAATTTTTCCTGGTGGCAAGTTGTGCAGCGTTGTGGTTAACCACAGTTACATACATACATCAGTACGTGTGTGCTGAAATTAATTGCGAAGGGTGACAATATGCTTGGCTGACCAGCCATCGTTGGTTGAAAGATCAAATCGAACTGTCTTGAGAAACTCGCTTTCAAAAGATACTCCTGAACATGCAGCTAACAAAAATATTGAAGAAAATGACAGGTGAATGTCTTATTAGTACACGGTAATAGGAATAACTTCGTGTATCTGATTTTACAATGCCGTCCGTGTACAGCTCACCTGCATTACACAAACGAGATGTATGAGATATGATAAATTCTTCTTCACATTAATAATATCTACATAGATAAACGGTAATTTATGGTTGATGACGCCTTGTTGATAGTATTGCCCTTTTTACACGATTTACACTTAAGTTATACTTCGATGTGTCGATCAAGTAGCTGTTTTACTTATTTCTTTTTTTGTATTCAGTAATCCCCCTAATTCGCACAGTCGAGAACCAGTAGGAATCGTGGTTGAGTACAAGGTGAAAATACGCTTAGTGCTTGGTTTTGGTATTAGGTAGGTTGATTTCGGAACTGATGTTATGCTATTTTTAATCAATTTACTTAATGTATATATATATATATATATATATATATATATATATATATCAAAGATAGGACTCCAAGTGAACATAGTAAAAACAGGAGTGAAGGTGAAGATTCGTGGGCAAACCCAACAGCGGCAACAACAACAATAGATAACAATCAGCATAAATGGGAAGAACCTGAAAGAAACAACCTCCTTTACCTACCTGGGAAGCATCGTTTCAACTACAGGCGGACGGAGCTGACGAGAATTCCAAAGCAAGGCTTGGGAAAGCAAGACAAGCTTTCATTACCCTCAAGTCTGTGTGAGGTCAACAGCACTCACTTAGCATGAAAAAAAAAGATCCAGATTTTCAAATCCAATGGGAAGTCAGTGCTACTTACTTACGACTTGGCGCGTCATAAAGAGCACCTCAAACAAACGACAGACCTTCATCAATAGCTGCCTTCGCTCAATACTACTCAAGATCAGATGGCCGGCCAGTAAAGATCAGCAACGGGGAGGGATCTCTGGGAGCAAACCAACCAGCAGGAATCGACTGTGCAACAAATCTGCAGAAAGAAATGGAGATGGATTGGCTGGCCATGCCTGGGAAACAAACCATCAAGTGACATCACTAGACAAGCCGTCGAGTGGAACCCGAAAGGGAAGCGGTGAGTTGGTCGTCCAATGGTGACTTGGAGGAGGTCGTGTGAAGAGGAGATGAAGGGATGTGGGCAGACCTGGAGCCAGGTGAAAACTTGAGCAGAGAACCGAACGCAATGGAGACGCGCGGCTGAAGCTCTATGTTCCTCTAAGAATTAAAGGAAATAATAGTAATATTTAACATATATTTAGTTTTAAAATTTCATTAACAATAAACTTAGCAGTCAGTAATTAGTTGATCAGTGTAAGTCCTTCTAATTTACTTGTTACTTTGAAAGTGTTCTCGTGAGGATAATGAAAGTGCATTTGAATCTCAAACATTCAATTGTTTATCAGTAAATTCAATGTAGCCTTTAAACTTTACCATAAGCATTACGAATTTACAGGATTTCATCATTAGCTGACATTAGTTAGAGAACCATTGGAAAACCTGGGAGTACTGGACAGCTGTTTCATCCTAGTTTGGGACTCATCATCAGTACGCACCAACCGGGACTCGAACCTAGGACCTCCTGTTTACAAGGTCAGCGAGCTCGTATACCATTAAGCCACTGGGACCCGATCCAATGACCCTTGAATTCTAACTTCTGCCAATTCACGACATAGCGCGACCCCTTTTCCAATGTCTTCGGCGAGTATTTATCCTCACACCCGACCTGCTGCACCCTACTGGCCACTACTTCTCACTAGAACCCAGGTAACTACCTACCTGAATAGGGCAAGTCGCTAGTGAGCATCTCATTGGTATTCAATGGTTCATTTCCAATGGTACTCTAACAATTGTCAGCTCATGATGAAATCCTGTAAACCAATCAAATCCCTACAAACCAACATTACGAACTTATGATATCACTGATATAGTTTAGTGCATATCTTTGACTATCTTTAAACAGTAAAATAAATTCTATACATTTTTATTGAAGAATGGGTTTTATTTCTTTAAAAAAATATTATAATAGTGTGTGTATATTTATCTATTCTTTAGAGTTGAATACATCCAGGTGATTTATTGTTATCGTTTGCATAATTAAAGTTATCAGTTTGTTATCACACATTTTGTAAATAGGACATTAGAATGAACTTTGAAGTTATATTCACGTAAATAGCATTGCCAGACTTAAAGTATCTTAATTATGAGCCTGTTGAAATGAATATTAGTTTTATGAACTTTAAATATTATTGTTGATTTGATTATTCGATTATTTGTGAATAGTTCGAAAAGTTCAGTTTGTTGAAATTTCGCGGTTTTCTAGGGATTTAGATTACTTCCAATGTTGACTTCATCACTCTGTTTTTTCCCTCACTCCTTTACTTTCTGAGTGGAACATAGAAGTTCGAGTTGTGTTATAAGAAGGGGAGGAGATGGTTATGAGCTTGACGCGTAACGTTTTTTAGGTGGGGTATAATAAAGTGAACAATATTGAGGTGAGGTGTTGAGTGCTAAGCGGGAGAAATCAATCGACGAGGTTGTGAAGTGACATTGATGCATGTCTGTCTTCCACGACGGGCGATGTTAGCTGACATAGAGTGGATCTGGTTGGAAAAGAACTAGTAGTGGTCAAACCAAAACATGGTACCACTCAACGTAATCTATAACAGTTAGTCGAAATCCCACTGGGAGGTGTAGACTTCGTGGTTGGCGTCCTCGTGATGTTGAAAACTCTTTGTGGTTTACCATATCTCATAAAACTCTATTGTTCTTCCGAATTACTATCATTTCACCCCACACTTCTGTTTGTTATCTCTTCTTTGAATCTCTCTTTACTCTCTCGTCTTGATTTGTATGCTACATGGAGGGAGTATGGCAAATCGAACTGCTGCACATCTGTGCAAAGTTCTACGCTGGAAGCAGTCAATCAGTCAGACCTTGTTTATTACCATCCAAGCGAGTTTTAAGGTGCGTCGGTGGCACAGCGGTTAGGACGCTCGCTGACCATGCACATGGTCCGGAGTTCGATCTCCGGCCGGATCACTCCTTTAACTCACTAAGCCAGTAGCGAGACTGGTAAAGAGGAAAGGTTGGGCATCCTGTAAAAATTAACACTGCTACAGAAACTTCAAGCCTCTAGCTTGGAGCCCTACCTTCTACTAGGAACGTGAAGGAAAATGAAAGTGAGTTTTATGAGGGTATCGGTGCAGGACCAAATCCCACACCACATCCGTGGTTGGCCGGCATTCTATGATTGGACAACGGATGCATTAGCGTTATGTATTAGGTCACCTTAAAAAATGAGACTTCATCACAAATCAACATCAGTAGCGTAACCATTAAAGACCAGTGAGTACTCAACAGGTTTTTAAGACTATTAGTGCACATGGGATACCTACTGCTTGATCTTCAGATTACAAGGCAACCACTTCATTTTTCAACCGGTGCTACTTAGTTTTTAAGGATTCATTCTGTTTAGTCGCGTGTGAAAGCCTAAGTAATATGTATAATCGTTGCAAAACTTCTTCTGTTATTGTGTTCAAATGTGACTTAAGCATCCGGCCATTCAGTCAATCAGTTCAGATTTCGAATCTCATCCATCTACTTCAGCGGAGTTCTGGCAAACTGTTGCTGTTGTTTGTTAAGTAATTGATAGTCATTGACAAAAGGCTTTTGTTAGCTTACATTTAATTATTTCTTTTTTTAGATATGATAGAGAAGATTTGTAGCTCAGGTGGATAATTTTGATGTGGTTTTGTTCTCTGAGCTGGATAGTTAGTTTGCGAAGCTTTCATCACCTTACTGGGTGACATCTTCAGCGCATACTTCAAATTGAAGTATGCGCTGAAGATGTCACCCAGTAAGGTGATGAAAGCTTCGCAAACTAACTATCCAGCTCAGAGAACAAAACCACATCAAAAATATTTCTTTTTTTACTGGTTTTTTATTTTCTACACATAACTTTTAGTTGTAATTTGCTTCTTAGGTATTCGTTGAGACTGTTTATTGATTTTTGTACTATATACTATACTACTATACTATATTCAGAACTACTCTTCAGCTTAACTTGAATACCACTTACTAATACAGTTGATGTAATTTTCTCTTTGCTTTTTTCACTATCATTAAATCTGTTCTTGTGCGTCGGTGGCACAGCGGTTAAGACGCTTGCCGACCATGCTCATGGTCTGGGGTTCGAGCCCTGTCCGGCGCACACCTTTATCTCGCTAAGCCAGTAGTGAGACTGGTCAGGAGGAAAGGTTGGGCATGAGGCTAGCAACCCCATCCTGTAAAAAATCAACACTGCTACGGAATCTTCAAGCCTATGGCTTGGAGCCCTATGTTCCACTGGGAACGTGAAGGAAAAAAAATTAAATCTGTTCAATTTCTTGATTTCAATACTTATTAGCCATCTGTTGAATTATGTATTCGACTGCCGATCTCTACATTTTCAAGGAGACAAACGGATGATGATGTTGAGGTTACTATCCAGTGTCCAATCGAAAGTATCTAATCCAGCCCTACAGGACGTCAATCGTGGGCCCGAATAGCTCAGTGGTAATGTCTCTGACTGCAGCACTGTGTGACACGGGTCCGAATCTCGGAAGGGACATGAGTTCCTTCAAGGTTACAGAAATGCCTCGCTGATTGGTGAGTGCCAACTAGCACGAAATCTAGGTTGGAGGCTTCCTGCCGATTGCCACCTAGTGGCATGTTGGCCACATTACAAACTTGACTAATAGAATTCAGTCTGCAGCAAGGTTTGGTCTAGACACGTGACTACTAACTAGTGTCCAGTTGAAAGATAATCCACTGAGCATCAGATGGGAGTTCTAAATAATCGTATACAGACTGAAGCAGCACTAGGTATATTTTTTTAGAACTTGTGTACCATGCAACAGTCCTTTGTTCTCCTTTATGGTTAGGAGACTTGGCCATTGAAATAAAAGATATGAAAAGGCTAGTTTTCTTTAACCACAGATGTTTGCCTTCTATCCTCCTTGTTAAGTAGTGTAGTATAGGAAGCAATTAAGCGGTTAGGTGTAGATTGTTAGATAAAGAGGGAAAGGTTACAAAGCTACACTGATTCAGATAGCTAGGACAGATGTCTCCCATGCTAAGCTACCGTCTTCCTTGACGGGAAGTGTTATCTGATATAGGGTTGAATTGGAAAAGAGTTAGGAGTGATAAAACCAGGATCTGGTATCAGGCCGTGAAGTCTTTGATAATTGGTTTAGGCCGTGTAGAAGAGGGTGTTAACTGCCTGGTTGGGGACGTTGGGATTCTAAGAACCAATGATAGCAGACCACTGATGGTATGACTCAAAATCGTTGCCGGTAATATAGATGCGTGTTTACCCTTTGTGGTCTTTCATATCCAGTGTCTCCTCATGTTGCCATTCTTTCTACCCGCCCTCCCTACATTTATGTTTATTATAGTTCTTCTGAGTTTCGTTTTTCTTTCTTTTCTCTACCTTTGTGTGCTGTATTGAATGTGGCAACGTGTCTACAACTCTGTACTAAATTCTACATTGAAACTAAGTCAATCGGCTTCCAGTACCCTGAATAATTCTAATTTTCGCGTTTTGAGAAACTTAAATATATATACATATTTTCATAATGATGAAACAAGTGGTTGCCAATAGAATTTATTAGTATGCTTACTGTATTGCGTATGACTTGACGTCATACTTGGCATCAGTCAATGAAATCCACAACAGTTGGTCTAAGCCACGTAGAAAGGTGTAGACTTCTAGGCTGGGGTCCTCGGGACGGTAAAAATCTATGGTTGCAAACAATTGGTGACATGGCTCAAAACCGTTCTCAGTGGCGCAGATGCATCCACTCCCTGTGACTTACGATCTTCAATGAAACTGTTTTGTATTTCTTTATTACTCCTTTGTCTCACACCTCTGCTCACCGTTTCTATTATGCTTTTCTTGTACTTTCTTCTCTTGCTTCGCGTGCTACACGGAATGTGGCGACTTGAACTTCCGCACATTTGTGCAAAGTTCTATGTCGAAAACAGACAGACAGACATGACTTGACGTGAAACACTTTCTTAAATCAATCAATAAATTTGTTACAGTTTATATAAATATTATTTTTTTTTGTTGTCTAGTGATGTCTGCTTAGAACTACCATTTATTTTAACACATCCTAATCCTGATTCATCTGATGCAAATGGAAATGAACACGATGATGAACTAATCTCTTCAATTACTACTGAACCGTCGTTAAGTGAAAAATCACCTGATAGAAAGGATAAAATAGACTTGAGAAATATTAAGTCATCTTTGGATGCATCAATTATTAAACGATCAGCTGTTATAAATGATACTTCACAGCATAAAATTACCTCAGAAATTGATCCTGTTTTTTCTGATGATTCGCAACAAAACAATTCAGTTGATCGTAATCATTTCAATGTCAATCCGTTTAAGTAAGTTTTTCAATCTTTGAATATGTTTATTATATAACTGATAAAGTTATGTAGTATAAATATACGTTTAATGATCCTCTCTGAAAGTGTTGGAAATTGCCTGTAGATGGTATATGGCACAGACGTTTAGCGGATATCATCGGGATTATATGGTGGTTTTTGTTGATTGCTTGAGAGGTTCATACTTGTCTAGGTGTGGGGTGTCTGTTTTCCGCTTGGGTTTGGTTCTGCTTTGTGTGTCGGGGGGATTTCACTCGGTTGGCTTCCGAGTAGAAAATAGAACTTCAAGTCTTGATGTTTTTTTCGGGGTGAGGTTGATAACTTCACATCTAAGCTTCCTTGTTTTACGGGCTTCCGACAGATAAGGCAAGATTTATGAATGCGTCGGTTGGAGTTCGAACCTGAATCGCTTGTTTTACTGGAGGGTATTTTATGCCTGGACCGCTGAACCCACATAATCATACTTGCGGAATCCTATACTAACATAGGATTATTGTTGCTTGCAGCAAAATATATTGATATGTGTCCTATTGATCACTTAAAATATTTTAAGACTTTTCAGAAAGAGAAAGTGAAAGGCAGTTTGATAATTCAATCTGTAGGTGTTAATTAACGTAACAATGACATGTTTGCGTCTATTTTCCTAATGTGTATATTGTTAGTGTCAGTTTATTATTATTTTTATTGTTCCCTTGAGTTCCTAGTGGAAAATAGGGCTTCAACTGCACGTCTCCACTTGCTTCTGTCTTCCTTCTGCTCTACTTTTCACCTCCATCCATGTTAGTCCATACTCTTTCAACTCCTCTTCACACGATCTCCTCCATGTCCACCTTGCACTGACGTCCCACTCGCCGCTTCCCTTTCAGCCTGGTTCCACTTGAGAAATGGCCTGACGCGCCCTCGATGTCACCCAGCGGCCTCCTCAGTGAGCGAGTGTCCAATCCATCTCCTATTTCTCCTGCATATTTGTTGGTTGGCGATTGGTTCTTGTTTTGTCTGTTCCCATAGTTTCTTGTGGGTGATTGTTTCCGGCCCAGCCACCTGATCTTCAGTATTGAGCGAAGACAGTTAGTTGTTGATAAAGGTCTGCAACAGGCTGTTGGAAATATTCTTTGTGACCCATCCGCCAAGTTTCTGATCCGTATAGAAGAACTGACCGACTTGACGTTTGTATTGAAAATCCGACTGAATTTTGTTGTTGATGTTGGCTGAGTGACAAAGATTTCCAGATTGGTTGTTTCAGGTTGATGTGAATGTGTTTCTCGCCTTCCCGATTCTCGCTCAATTTGACATCCTCGTTTGTTCCGACTGTCTGTAGTTGAGACAATGCTCCCTAGATAAGTGAAGTGAATGAAGTAACCTCTTTCAAATCCCTCCCGTTGATGGTGATTGGCGATGGATGTTTCTGCTGTTGTTGTTGTTGGTTGGTTGGTTGGTTATTTTCATAACCTCCGTCCTGTTCACCTATGTTCACCTGGAGTCCTGTCTTCGCGGGCTGCTTCTTCGACCAGTTTGTCGGTTTTCTCTTGTAAATCTTCGATTTTGTGTGACATCAAACATAAATCATTCACACACGAAATCCAGGTCTTCTAGGTTCTTCACGTCTGTTGGTCCAGGATATCTTTGTCCGCTTTCTTATTCCCCACTGTCTGACGCATAATCCAGTCAGTCCACCACGATTAGGAATATCATTGGCGATAATAACTGGGACCCTTGTCTCACTCCTGTGTTTACTCCAAACGCCTTACTGAGTTTTTCGTTGTGGGTGACTTGACATGTTCCGTTGTCGTACAGCTGTTGAATAAGGTTGATGAATATTTGGGGTACGCCGTAGTATTCGAGTAGTTTCCAAATTACTTCGCGGTCAACGCTGTCTGTCGAAGGCCTTCTCAAAGTCTAGAAACTTGAGGTACAGGTTTGATTGCCATACCTCAACTTTATAAACACAAATAAATAAGTATTTCATAGCTATGAATCATATCTCATTACTAGTTTTATTTTAAATGACAAAATTGGCATCTGATAAAGGCCATAATTTATTGAGGCTAAATATCCGTCCTTCTATCATAAAGCTTATCTTTTTACATTTTGTAATTTGAACTTGACGTTTCCCTTCGGGAATACTAAGCAGGCATAATATGCACACATGTATAATGCACTATTGACCTCAGTGTGCAAATAGTAATTACAACAATATGTGTTGTTTTCTATGTTTCATTTTTTTTTAAATATAGGGAATCCCTTCAATCTCCACAATTTGCAAATAAATCAATATGTTCTTATTCTCCTCCTGTATGGGATCGTAATTTCCACCTGATATTCTCTGGTTCACGAGCATCAGGTCGACGTCCATCAACTGTTGGTACACAATCGACATTAAGTGAAGATGATTTATTATTTGAAGATTTTGCTCGATTTCGTCTACAATCATAATTCTGTGTATTCTTCATTCATAAAATTTATTTATAAGATATTGTAACGTTTTTTAAAAAAATTATTTATTTATAAATTTTAAAGCTCTACTTTCAGTTTTATCTATTTATTTATTTATTTTCATTGTCATTTTTATAGTCCTTTTTATTTCTTAAACTGTTTTATTTTAATGAAATCCATGTTTCTAATAATACCAGTCTGTTACCTTAGTCTTTTAATATTGATCTGTTAGTTAGCCAGCCAGTCAGTGAATCGCTGAGTCCTGTCTTTGATAGAATTATGAGACTCTGTCTAATGTCAGACAGGGGAACAAGCATGCTTGCTATCACAGACTGTGATTAGAACTGATGATAATTATATATATATATATATATATATATATATATATATATATATATATATATATATGTATAACACTGTAATATATGCACTATTTTCCTAATTATATCTACCTCTGGATTATTTTTAATTACCTCATGTGTTTTTTTTTTAATTTCAGCTGGCTTAATATTTGAAATGGTTTCATTTTGTTAATTTTTTTCTTCCTTGCTTTTCCTCTTTTTGAGAATATATTTTCCCGATAATTAACTTTCTTGATTTTTTAGCTTTAAAGCAAACTGTGTATATACACATACATTTTATATGCATACATGCATGCATGCATATATACTACTATCAGACTTTTTTTGTTGTTATCCGTGTTGTTATTTGTTGAGGAAAACCATTCATGTTTTTTCTTTCTTTTCTTTTTGACTTTGAAAAAAGATAATTATCTTCCTAATATATAAATATATTAATTATATATATATATATATATTGAACCAGTAATTATGAAGCCCTTTTTGGTTGAATGTTGAATGGAATTATTACATATACTGCATACTAACCACTACATGTCGACTAAGTACTTTTAACCCCTTGACATACTGATGAGTATATGAAGCATTAAAGGAAACCCGTGTGACCATTGATGATGTAACAAAACAATACGCTATATTACCTTGTTTTAACTGATGATGATTGTCTTATTAATTCCTTCACAATATGTTGTATATCTGGTTGATTACTTTCAGCTAGGTGCTAAATTTTGTTTGTGCGTGTCGATGGAAATTTGTTTGGCATTCTTTTATCCTCTTCATCTTCTTGTATTTTGAACTGTTTAACTGTCTTTATTTTATTTGGGATATAGTCTGATATAGTCTGTTTTTATGGTTAAATCTAGTTGATCGTTGTTTGTTTGTCTCTGCGTGCGTCTGCGTGTGTGTGTGAATTAAACTTTCTCCTCAGTCTCCATTATATGTTCACACTTCACAGCTCCAATGGTAGTGTGAAAGACAATAGGTTATCATTTACTTCCCCACCCTCCGCCGTCCCCTTTGTGCTCTTCAAGGAAGATGTGTTTTAATTTACAACACTGAGTAGTAGTAAGTGACGAAGGCGAAATCAGTCTCTGAATACAACGATAGGCTATGCATTTAAAAACCACATTTCTTATTTACTTCATCGTTCTTATTCTGTCTCTTTTTGTCTCCCTCGGTCTCTGTTTTATCTAACTCATGAAGGTTCGTCTACCTAATAATAATATTAGCTTCTATGTTTTAAACTAAGCCGTATTTGATAATAATCAAGGTGAGGTTTTCATCTTTCTTTTTTTCTTTCTTGTATAGCAGGCGTTGATTATGTTTTGTTGTGTTCTTATTGTTTAATCTATCTTTCACAGTGATTGTTTCGTTTTATTTTATAATCTCCTTGTTTTATCTTTGCTCTTGTACTACTACTACTACTACCTTCTACTAATAAATACCACCACCTAAAAATGCACTCACATCAATACTTTTAAGCAACTAACCAAACCAAAACTGATTAGGCACACAATTACTGTTGTTCGAAACTTGTAGAGACACAGTACTTGTCTTTCGTTTTCTCTCCTTTTTTTCTATCTTTTCTTTTTTTCTTTTGATTCTACTGATGTACATTGAACCATTTAATAACCATAAATAACTATGATTATTTGTTTATTTATGTAAAACAAATATAAATAAAAAAAAATAACATGCCTGCAGTTAGTTTAATTATTAAACTTTTTTTTTCTGCGTGTTCAATAGTTGGTTGTGCAGTGATGGTGTTGATTACCATTGGTGTGCGTGTGTGTTTTACGAGTTTTATGTTTTTTAGCTAGCTGACTTTTATAAGCATTTAAAGTATTGGACAGTTGGTTGTATTGATAGATTAATTATTTCTTTGTGTGAAGATTCTATGAAAGTGACTTTCATGTTTGAATATCATTGAGCTATTCAATTATTTATAGGATACTACGATTGATACCGCAGTATATTTGAATATTCGACATTTGTATGTTGTTTTAGCGTATTATGGTAGGTAGAAATATAGTGCTTCTGAAATCTAGGGATTGGTAGTACTGTGGTGTGATGCAAATTTATTTCAAGCGGCTAAAACTTACATGAAATAACCCCATTGGACAAGTTGTTTAACCTTGAACTAATTGCCAACCAATCAGAACAGTTTATTATCCTTTGAACAAGCCGAACTTTTATGTGGTTAAGAATGTATAAATGCAATGCTTTCCCTGAAGATAAGAAAGTCTCTTATCTTATCTCATTACAATACTACCTACCTGAACATTTTCGCTGTAGCTTTTGTGCGGTAGTCTAACTTATTTCTCACATGGATGGATGGATTGTGATAACCAGTTAAATGCGAATTATGTTACCGTTCTTTAAAAAAACCCTAACGCCTTTACATTGCACTGGCGTTTAGCACCACGTTATGTGAAAAACTTCATACAAGACGTGGATTTGATAGGCAAGTTCACTACCTTCCGTATAGGCTTCCGACGTGCATTACACTTAAGCATTTTGTTTTTACTTGAAATAGTGTGTTTATATTTGGTTTCTTAGTAGAGGCTGAATACTTTATGGCATAGTAGTAGCTAGCTATTTATGTTCTTTTAAAGCCATTGGACAGCTAATTATTCAATTAACGCTAAGTTCCGTATTAACTTGTTTATTTGATATTGTAACGACAGAAGACAAAGGCCACTCAACAGATCGTTTATTGAGGAAATCAAGATATATTTGTAGATTTTCATGTACATCATTATTCGTTATTGTTAGCAGAGAAACGGCGTTTTCTGGTTGGTTGTTTTCTCTCTGAAAGTTATTGTCATCTCCTTGTGGCGGTTTCTTGGATAGTCAGGCCATGTATCTGCGAATCGTATTTGCACACGCTAAGTCTGCCGTGATTGGTTGACTTTGCAATTGTTTTTTTCTCTCGTGACTCCGATTCGGGACGTAAAGGTTGATGTAAATTGGTGTCTACAATGTTGGTTAGAAGACAGCTCTCACGGCAATATAGCACACAGTGGAATAGAGTCATTTACTGGATAACGTTTTAAACACAATTTATTGTTCATAATCATATCGGTTATGACTACAAAATTTTAGAACTTCAGTTATATGGTTTTCTTTATTCCTTCATGCTTCCATACTGAAAATCAGATAGCCAGCTGGGACGCCAAGAAGGAACTATGCGAGCGACTCGACAAAGAACATAGTTCCCAATAGATATGCTGAAAAGAAAACAGAGACGAATGGAACACTTCAAAGAGGCCTCTGAGTGATATTGCGTAGCATGGCAATTAGCACTTACCAGATGTCTGGAATAGGTGTTAGGTCATTTCTGTTGTACGTACTTTCAGTTGATTCGATAAATAAAGCTTGCACTGTCAATCTCTTCTTTCACCGTGTTATATCAGATTTTAAGATTGTCATTGTATCCTATCCTATTGTGTGGTTGTATGTAACTCTATGTAACGCTATAACTGAGCTATTTTCTAGATTCCCTATCTTATAAGGATCAACTAATCTAGATTTTGTTAGGTTCTTGTTCTCCGTTAATCTGATTGACCCCGTTCCACTAGTTACCTGAAACTATGTACTACTGATTATTTGAGACGAGTTGTTTTTATACAGTTCATATCAACCATTAGTGCTTTCCACTCAGATAACGTTTATTTAAACATCGGATGGTCATTTCGCTCGTTTAGGGCCGAGCACATCAGCGCAGTATCTGGTTCGACTCTGCTTGGAGGGCTGGATCTGTTCAAGCCACCTGATTTTTGTTTATTTACTTAGGCGAATTGGTGACACCATAAATCAAATTAATAATTTACAAATTGGTTAGCGATTTGATATGTACACAATTCGAAAGGTGAAATTTTTACCACTTTGACCTTTGGTATTTTGATCTGAAAATAATCTTAGGGTATTGAGTTAACTAAATAATTTTGTTTGATGGGCTCCACAGGATCCTTCAACAGCCATAATGAGTTTCTAAGTCAGTGTGTGGGTTTGACCGCCACTTTTATTCCTCCATTGTTAAGAATTGTACGTGAAGTTCCTTTTTCTTTCTGTAAAAGTACTACTGATGATTTAAATTGCTTCTTGTTGGTGTTATCATTGTCTTATGTTTGTTAGTTATGCATGTCGAATCGTCATCCAGTATATAATACTGTTTCACTGTATGATGGGTCTCATAAGCAAATTCATATGGGACTATCTTGATGCCCTAAGTTTATATCGTTTTTTTCTTAGAAAAAATTACTTGGAAAGACGACTTCATTTTTATTATCCTCTACCTGGTGTGCTTCTGTGACGACATGCACTACTGTGCAGTACTATACTAGTTCCTATGTGAATAATTCCTGACTGTCAAAATCGTTTCACTTCCGTGACTGCTTGACGCCTTTTTACACTGGGCGTCATTCATTAGCTTAGGTACTTAACTTTCATCCAGTGGGTTTTTGAGTAGAAATTCCACTGCACCTACTTTATCTCAGGTAACTATGTAGCATTGTCACCCTTCTCACAATAATCGTTACTCATGTCACTGGTATGTGGAAAATCTCTTCTTCTTTTTGATGCGGTTGTGTTCTCTGAGCTGGATGGTTAATTTGCGAAGCTTTCATCACCCTACTGGGTGAAATCTTCAGCGCATACTTCAATTTGAAGTGAACTTTTAGATATCTCCACGAGTTTATTCATCATCTCTCTTGGTGACCTTTGGCGTGATTGGTTGTTTTTGTGTGTTTTCACACCTTCTAGGCTACTTGTATTGGAACTGATTGTTTCTTTGACTTGAACTTTGACCCTTTGTGTATGAGGTTTCTTTCTTATCGGTTGATAAATTTTGTCTATCTGGATGTGTCTATTGATTGATGATTCACTAGAATACCAGGCGGGCTTCTAAAAATTCTCTAGCATTCTTGTTCTTTCCTCTGTCTGATATTTGAACGTTGGTTGTCCCAGTCGAATTGATGTCCGTGGTTGTCTCTGTGTAATGAAATGAGGGAGTGGAT